CCTGGTTTTCCTGTCACTTGCAGCCTGTAGGGACGGGTGCTGCTGAGCTCAGGAAGCCCATCTACCAGAGACTCAGACGACTAGACGATCAGGTCAGTGTGTATGGTTGTGTGTGTGTCTGTGTGTCTGTGTGTGTGTGTGTGTTCATGTGTGTGTGTGTGTCTGTGTGTGTGTGTGTTCATGTGTGTGTATCTGTGTTTGTGTGTGTGTCTGTGTGTGTGTCTGTTCGTGTCTGTGTGTGTGTGTCTGTTCGTGTCTGTGTGTGTGTGTGTCTGTGTGTGTGTGTGTGTGTGTGTGTGTCTATTTGTGTGTGTGGCTGGGTGTTTGTGTGTGTGTCTGTCTGTCTGTCTGTCTGTCTGTCTGTTTGTCTGTCTGTGTGTGTCACCCTTGATGTGTTATTGTTTTATTACAAGAAAACAAAAAAAATAGAATATCATTTTCGAAGTTAAAAGATGTCCAAGAAATGTAAATGTTTCCAAGAGAGTAATATATATCCATAAGTAAGGTATACTACATGACCAAAAGTATGTGGACACCTGCTCGTCCAACATCTCATTCCAAAATCATAGGCATTAATATGGAGTTGGTCCCCCCTTTGCTGCTATAACAGCCTCCACTCTTCTGGGACGGCTTTCCACTAGATGTTGGAACATTGCTGAGGGGACTTGCTTCCATTCAGCCACAAGAGCGTTAGTGAAGTCGGGCACTGATGTTGGGCGATTAGGCCTGGCTCATAGTCGATGGGGTTGAGGTCACGGCTCTCTGCAGACCAGTCAAGTCCTTCCACACCGATCTCGACAAACCATTTCTGTATGACCTCGCCTTGTGCACGGGGGCATTGTCATGCTGAAACAGGAAAGGGCCTTCCCCAAACTGTTTCCACAAAGTTGGAAACACAGAATCGTCTAGAATGCCAATATTTCCCTTCACTGGAACTAAGGGGCCTAGCCCGAACCATGAAAAACAGCCCCAGACCATTATTCCTCCTCCACCAAACTTTACAGTTGGCACTATGCATTGGAGCAGGTAGCGTTCTCCTGACATCCGCCAAACCCAGATTCGTCCGTCGGACTGCCAGATGGTGAAGCGTGATTCATCACTCCAGAAAACGCATTTCCACTGCTCCAGAGTCCAATGCCGGTGAGCTTTACACATTTACATTTACATTTTTTACATTTTCGTCATTTAGCAGACGCTCTTATCCAGAGCGACTTACAAATTGGTGCATTCACCTTATGATAGCCAGTGGGACAACCACTTTACAACACCACTCCAGCCGACGCTTGGCATTACGCATGGTGATCTTAGGCTTGTGTGCGGCTGCTTGGCCATGGAAACTCATTTCATGAAGATCCTGACGAACAGTTCTTGTGCTGATGTTGCTTCCAGAGGCCATTTGGAACTCACTAGTGAGTGTTGAAACCAAGGACAGACGATTTTTACAGACTACGCACTTCAACACTCGGCGGTCCCGTTCTGTGAGCTTCTGTGGTCTACCACTTCGCGGCTGAGCCGTTGTTGCTCCTAGACGTTTCCACTTCACAATAACAGCACTTACAGTTGACCGGGGCAGCTCTAGCAGGGCAGAAATGTGACGAACTGACTTGTTGGAAAGGTGGCATCCTATGACGGTGCCACGTTGAAATCACAGCTCTTCAGTAAGGCCATTCTACTGCCAATGTTTGTCTTTGGAGATTGCATGGCTGTGTGCTCAATTTTATACACCTGTCAGCAACGGGTGTGGCTGAAATTAACGAATCCACTGATTTGAAGGGATGTCCACATACTTTTGCATATATAGTGTATGTCCAAGAAATTGTGTTGTACGTGTGTGTGTTTCTCAGTTCCGTCGATTCCAGGAACTGACCCTGAGCCGGTTAGAGTTTCTGTCCCAGATGTCTAACGTGTCGACCTCCCTAGAGGTCAGAGTTCAGACCCAGTCCGACCAACACAGAAACCTCACCCAGGAACTAACACAACTCAGAGACACCACCACACAGGTTACTATTCATATCATTTTGGTTATATATATATTATGTTATATTTACATGTATGTTATATATGATGTTATATTTTATTTTAAAATATATAAATATATATTTATATTTATGTTATATTATTATGTCATATATATATACTGCTCAAAAAAATAAAGGGAACACTTAAACAACACAATGCAACTCCAAGTCAATCACACTTCTGTGAAATCAAACTGTCCACTTAGGAAGCAACACTGATTGACAATACATTTCACATGCTGTTGTGCAAATGGAATAGACAACAGGTGGAAATTATAGGCAATTAGCAAGACACCCCCAATAAAGGAATGGTTCTGCAGGTGGTGACAACAGACCACTTCTCAGTTCCTATGCTTCCTGGCTGATGTTTTGGTCACCTTTGAATGCTGGCGGTGCTTTCACTCTAGTGGTAGCATGAGACGGAGTCTACAACCCACACAAGTGGCTCAGGTAGTGCAGCTCATCCAGGATGGCACATCAATGCGAGCTGTGGCAAGAAGGTTTGCTGTGTCTGTCAGCGTAGTGTCCAGAGCATGGAGGCGCTACCAGGAGACAGGCCAGTACATCAGGAGACGTGGAGGAGGCCGTAGGAGGGCAACAACCCAGCAGCAGGACCGCTACCTCCGCCTTTGTGCAAGGAGGAGCAGGAGGAGCACTGCCAGAGCCCTGCAAAATGACCTCCAGCAGGCCACAAATGTGCATGTGTCTGCTCAAACGGTCAGAAACAGACTCCATGTGGGTGGTATGAGGGCCCGACGTCCACAGGTGGGGGTTGTGCTTACAGCCCAACACCGTGCAGGACATTTGGCATTTGCCAGAGAACACCAAGATTGGCAAATTCGCCACTGGCTCCCTGTGCCCTTCACAGATGAAAGCAGGTTCACACTGAGCACATGTGACAGACGTGACAGTCTGGAGACGCCGTGGAGAACGTTCTGCTGCCTGCAACATCCTCTAGCATGACCGGTTTGGCGGTGGTTCAGTCACGGTGTGGGATGGCATTTCTTTGGGGTGCCGCACAGCCCTCCATGTGCTCGCCAGAGGTAGCCTGACTGCCATTAGGTACCGAGATGAGATCCTCAGACCCCTTGTGAGACCATATGCTGGTGTGGTTGGCCTCATGTGGCTGGAGTGTGTCAGCTAACAATGCTAGACCTCATGTGGCTGGAGTGTGTCAGCAGTTCCTGCAAGAGGAAGGCATTGATGCTATGGACTGGCCCGCCCTTTCCCCAGACCTGAATCCAATTGAGCACATCTGGGACATCATGTCTCGCTCCATCCACCAACGCCACGTTGCACCACAGACTGTCCAGAAGTTGGCGGATGCTTTAGTCCAGGTCTGGGAGGAGATCCCTCAGGAGACCATCCGCCACCTCATCAGGAGCGTTGTAGGGAGGTCATACAGGCACGTGGAGGCCACACACACTACTGAGCCTCATTTTGACTTGTTTTAAGGACATTACATCAAAGTTGGATCAGCCTGTAGTGTGGTTTTCCACTTTAATTTTGAGGGTGACTCCAAATCCAGACCTCCATGGGTTGATAAATTTGATTTCCATTGATAATTTTTGTGTGATTTTGTTGTCAGCACATTCAACTATGTAAAGAAAAAAGTATTTAATAAGATTATTTCATTCATTCAGATCTAGGATGTGTTATTTTAGTGTTCCCTTTATTTTTTTGAGCAGTGTATATTATGGTAATATTATTTTTATGGTTATATTTTGTTTTAATTTGGGTCCTGTCTTGTCGTTGTTTATCTTGTTGCTGTTCTGATTTGTTTAAAACACTTTCTGTAGTTTTTTTGTGTGGGGGAACATTTATAAAAAATCTTACCAAAAAACAGGAGCTGAACGGCCTGAAAGACTGGAGCAGTAAACTACAGAAGAAGAACAAGAGGATGGAGGGAAGATTGGCCTCGCTGGAGAGACGCAGACAGGGACAGGTACTCTAAACATCAACAGTCAGGGACAGGTATTCTAACCAACAACAGACAGGGACAGGTACTCTTAACATCAACAGTCAGGGACAGGTATTCTAACCAACAACAGACAAGGACAGGTACTCTAAACAACAACAGACAGGGACAGGTACTCTAAACAACAACAGACAGGGACAGGTACTCTAAACAACAACAGACAGGGACAGGTACTCTAAGCAACAACAAACAGGTACAGGTACTCTAACCAACAACAGACAGGGACAGGTACTCTAAACAACAACAGACAGGGACAGGTACTCTAAACAACAACAGACAGGGACAGGTACTCTATGCAACAACAAACAGGTACAGGTACTCTAAACAACAGCAGACAGGGACAGGTACTCTAAACAACAAGAGACAGGGCAAGGTACACTCTCTCTCCTCTCGCTCCTCTCTCTCCTCTCTCTCCTGTCCTCTCTCTCCTCTCTCTCCTCTCCTCTCCTCTCCTCTCCTCTCCTCTCCTCTCCTCTCGCTCTCCTCCCTCTCCTCTCCTCTCCTCTCCTCTCCTCTCCTCTCCTCTCGCTCTCCTCTCCTCTCCACTCTCTCCTCTTCTCTCTCTCTTCTCCTCTCTTTCCTCTCCTCTCTCACCTCTATCTCCTCTCCTCTCTCTCCTCTCCTCTGCACAGAGCAGCAGGCAGACCCAGAGACGGAGTCAGGAGCAGGGAGAGTCTCTCTCCAGCCTCACCCTGGCGCTCCACAGCCAGGAGGGGCGTCTCCACTCCCTGGAAGCCCAGCGAGAGGAGCTTCTGGTCGGGCTGAGAGGTCTCCAGGAGTCCCTGAGGGAGCAGGATCTCCGGATGAGCCGGCTCGAAGGGAGGCTGGGGGAGCTACTACAGGGGAATGGAGTCTCTTCCAGGGGATCAGAGAGGACAGGAGACCCTCTCACCTCCAACCTCACGCCCCAGGATACAGTACCCCCACGGAGGACCCAGGCCTCCAGAGGACAGAGCCCAAGACAGGACACCCAGACCCAGCCCAGACACACCCAGACATATTACCAGCCCCTGCCTCAGGCTAACATTCAGCCTCAGCCCCAACCCCAAACCTTCTCTCAGCCCCAGCCCCAGTCCCAGTGCCAGCCCAAACCCCAACCCCACTCTCAGCCAAAACACACCAAAGACAGGAGGACGAGGACAAGACTACAGCCTCCACATCCACCTCCCCACCCCACACAGCCTCCTTCTCAGTCCCAGGAGGAGAAGAGGAGGCTGGGGGAGAGAGGACAGGATAGCCCCCGGCCTGGTCGTCCTCAACAGGGGGCAAAACCACAGTCTGTGGAGGAGAGGAGAGAGGAGGGAGAGATGGAGAGGAGGAGGGGGGACGAGGTGTGGAGGAGGAGTGAAGAGAAGCGGACAGACAGGAGGAGTGGAGAGGAAGAGCGGACAGAGAGGAGGAGGGGAGAGGAAGAGCGGACAGAGAGGAGGAGGGGAGAGGAAGAGCGGACAGAGAGGAGGAGTGGAGAGGAAGAGCGGACAGAGAGGAGGAGGGGAGAGGAAGAGCGGACAGAGAGGAGGAGTGGAGAGGAAGAGCGGACAGAGAGGAGGAGGGGAGAGGAAGAGCGGACAGACAGGAGGAGGGGAGAGGAAGAGCGGACAGAGAGGAGGAGGGGAGAGGAAGAGCGGACAGAGAGGAGGGGAGAGGAGGAAGAGGAGGAGAGAAGGAGTGGAGAGGAGGAGAGGAAAGGAGAGGAACCACAAATCCAGAACCTTCTTCAGCTTCCAGTGAGACATAAGATCCCTCTGCAGCACATCCCCAGGAGAGAAGGTACCAGTAAGTAACTCCAGATGTCAATAATAAGATAGCAAAACTCCAGTAACTTTCCCAAAATTCCCAGGTTTTCCATAAATTCTGGTTGAAGGATTCCAGATGTCCTGTGGTTCCAGGAATCTTCAAACTGGGATTTCTGGAAACCCTCTGTCAGCAACACAACACAGCATCCAGTAATGAGGTGCCATTTAAATAACTATAAAATAGAGAGGTGTTAAATAACATCCTGTAGTATCCCATAGATAGGTGTAATGCGGTGTGACATTAAATAACATCCCATAGTATCCCATAGATAGGTGTTGTGACACTCTGGCTCCGGGACTTTTGTATTTGAGCCAGGGTGTATTTTGTGTTGTTGGGTATTTGGGTGATTTTCTATGTTTGCAGTTCTGTGGGGTTAATTTCTAGGTTTGGTCAATGACTCCCAATCGGAGGTAACGAGTGTCAGCTGTCGGCTCGTTATCTCTGATTGGGAGCCATATTTAGCTGTATGTTTTCCTGTGGGAATTGTGGGTTTTTGTTCCAGGTTCAGTATTTTGTCACTGTTGGACTTCACTATCGTCTTTTGTTTTGTAGTTACGTGCTTTCTTTATTAAAGTCATCATGTTCACTCAACGCGCTGCGTATTGGTCTGCTCCCTTTATAGACGATCGTGACAGAAAAACCCACCATAATAGGACCAAGCAGCGTGTCAAGCGGCAACAGGACCCAGCTCCAAAGGATTCATGGACATGGGAGGAGATACGGGCTGGAAAGGGTCCTTGGGCACAACCGGGAGAATATCGCCGCCCTCGTGAAGAGCTGGAGGCAGCTAAAGCCGAGAGGAGGTGGTATGAGGAGGCAGCACGGAGTCGAGGCTGGAAGCCCGTGGGTACTACCCAAAAATTTATTGGGGGGGGGCTTAAAGGGAGTGTGGCGAAGTCAGGTAGGAGACCTGCGCCTACTCCCTGGACTTACCGTGGAGAGCGAGAGTACGGGCAGACACCGTGTTACGCAGTAGAGCGCATGGTGTCTCCTGTACGCAGGCATAGCCCGGTTCGGTACATTCCAGCTCCACGTATCGGCCGGGCTAGATTGAGCGTTGAGCCGGATGTCATGAAGCCGGCCCAACGCATCAGGCCACCAGTGCGTCTCCTCGGGCCGGCTTACATGGCACCAGCCTTACGCATGGTGTCCCCGGTTCGCCTACATAGCCCGGTGCGGGTTATTCCTCCTTCCCGTACTGGTCGGGCGACGGGGAGTATACAACCAGGTAAGGTTGGGCAGGCTCAGTGCTCAAGAGAGCCAGTACGCCTGCACGGTCCGGTATTTCCGGCGCCACCTCCCCGCTCCAGCCCAGTACCACCAGTGCCTACACCACGCACCAAGCCTCCTGTGTGTCCCCAGAGTCCTGTGCGTCCTGTTGCTGCTCCCCGCACTAGCCCTGAGATGCGTGTCCTCAGCCCGGGACCACCAGTTCCGGCACCACGCACTAGGCCTTATGTGCGTCCCCAGGGTCCAGCATGCCCTGTTGCTACTCCCCGCACTAGCCCTGAGATGCGTGTCCTCAGCCCGGGACCACCAGTTCCGGCACCACGCACCAGGCCTATAGTGCGTCTCGGCCGGCCAGAGTCGGCCGTCTGCCCAACGGCGCCTGAACTGCCCGTCTGCCCAACGGCGCCTGAACTGCCCGTCTGCCCAACGGCGCTTGAACTGCCCGTCTGCCCAACGGCGCCTGAACTGCCTGTCTGCCCAACGCCGTCTGAACTGTCCGTCTGCCAAGCGCTGCATGAACTGCCCGTCTGTACTGAGCCTGCAAAGCCGCCCGTCTGCCATGAGCCTTCAGAGCCGTCCGCCAGACCGGAGCCGCTAAAGCCTTCCGCCAGACAGGAGCCGCTAGAGCCTTCCGCCAGACAGGATCAGCCAGAGCCGTCCGCCAGACAGGATCAGCCAGAGCCTTCCGCCAGACAGGATCGGCCAGAGCCTTCCGCCAGACAGGATCAGCCAGAGCCTTCCGCCAGACAGGATCAGCCAGAGCCTTCCGCCAGACAGGATCAGCCAGAGCCTTCCGCCAGACAGGATCAGCCAGAGCCTTCGGCCAGACAGGATCAGCCAGAGCCTTCCGCCAGCCATGAGCAGCCAGATCCTTCAGCCAGCCATGAGCAGCCAGATCCGTCGGCCAGCCATGAGCAGCCAGATCCGTCGGCCAGCCATGAGCAGCCAGATCCGTCGGCCAGCCATGAGCAGCCAGATCCGTCGGCCAGCCATGAGCAGCCAGATCCGTCGGCCAGCCATGAGCAGCCAGATCCGTCAGCCAGCCATGAGCAGCCAGATCCGTCAGCCAGCCATGAGCAGCCAGATCCTTCAGCCAGCCATGAGCCGTCCAGCCAGGATCCGCCAGAGCCGTCCAGCCAGGATCCGCCAGAGCCAGCCAGCCAGGATCCGCCATTGAGTCCGGTGCTGTCCCTTAGCCCGGTGCTGCCCCTTATCCTGGTGCTGCCCCTTAGTCCGGTACTGCCCCTTAGTCCGGTGCTGCCCCTTAGTCCGGTGCTGCCCTTTAGTCCGGTGCCGCCCCTTAATCCAGTGGGGTTTAGTTGGGGGGTGGTCATGTGGAGGAGGCTACGGAAGCGGATAGTGACTAAGGTGGGGTGGGGACCACGACCAGGGCCAGAACCGCCACCGTGGACAGACGCCCACCCAGACCCTCCCCTAGACTGTATGCTGGTGCGCCCGGAGTGCGCACCTTTAGGGGGGGGTACTGTGACACTCTGGCTCCGGGACTTTTGTATTTGAGCCAGGGTGTATTTTGTGTTGTTGGGTATTTGGGTGATTTTCTATGTTTGCAGTTCTGTGGGGTTAATTTCTAGGTTTGGTCAATGACTCCCAATCGGAGGTAACGAGTGTCAGCTGTCGGCTCGTTATCTCTGATTGGGAGCCATATTTAGCTGTATGTTTTCCTGTGGGAATTGTGGGTTTTTGTTCCAGGTTCAGTATTTTGTCACTGTTGGACTTCACTATCGTCTTTTGTTTTGTAGTTACGTGCTTTCTTTATTAAAGTCATCATGTTCACTCAACGCGCTGCGTATTGGTCTGCTCCCTTTATAGACGATCGTGACAGGTGTAATGCGGTGTGACATTAAATAACATCCAATAGTATCCCATAATGTGGTGTAATGTGGTGTGACATTAAATAACATCCCATAGTATCCCATAGATAGGTGTAATGCGGTGTGACATTAAATAACATCCAATAGTATCCCATAATGAGGTGTAATGTGGTGTGACATTAAATAACATCCCATAGTATCCCATAATGAGGTGTAATGTGGTGTGACATTAAATAACATCCCATAATATCCCATAATGAGGTGTAACGTGACATTAAATAACATCCCATAGAATAGTTTATTTTAGGAAACAACTTCATTAGAACTAAAATGGATGTGTTTTACATCCGTAAACAACATCTGCTGAGCCACGAGAGACCAGAAAGACACACACACACACACATATCTGTTAAAGGCGTTGTTGTGTGTTTCCATTCAGTCTGGAGGAGGAGGGGAGTTGAAGCATTACATTTGCCTAATCCCAAACTCGCTTACACATCTTGGGACTACAAGGTCCTCTACTCTCTAAATGAGATGAGAGAGAGAGAGAGAGAGGTTAAGTGTTGATAGATGTAGGAAACAGGATATAGTCTCACTGAGTTTGGACCATCTGAGAGTTATGAGTTATGTTCACATCTGAAGAATCAATCTAACTCTATTATTCACGTTGAATAAACTAAGATTAACAAACCCAGTTAGAGAAAAACTATATTATGTAACTCTAGAAACTGATACACACTGCCTTAGCCAAGAAATACACATTCATCTCTACGCATTGATCAGTCAGCTGGTTTTAACAGCAGTCAGTTTGCGGTTGACAATTTGATAAATGGATGATATATTAAGTTCTCTTCAACCTTTCTATAGCCTGGGTACCAGTGTGTTTTTCCTATAGCCTCCTCATTTGCTGTTGTTGAATGCAAAAACAGTCCAAGACTGGGATTGGATGGCCCCGCTCTGCTTTTAGCTGTTCGTCATCATGGTGTGTTTGACCTATAAAACATGATTCAGAATAAAGATGTTACACTGACAGTCCTGTTCTCAGGCCAGAAACCCCATCCAGCCAGTCCTGTAGGGACCACCCCCCTGGACTAAAGTAGACTTCAGGCTTCATGATTTACTGTCTTCTTTTACTACCTTGTCAGGACCTGTGGATGTGAGGAGGAGGGAGAGAGAGAAATAGAGAGAAAGATAGACAGAGATCTGGGGACTTTAGCAGGAGGTAGGAGGATATGATGGGATAGTCGTAACAGCAGGAGGTAGGAGGATATCAGGGGATGGTCGTAACAGCAGGAGGTAGGAGGATATCAGGGGATGGTCGTAACAGCAGGAGGTAGGAGGATATCAGGGGATGGTCGTAACAGCAGGAGGTAGGAGGATATGAGGGGATGGTCGTAACAGCAGGAGGTAGGAGGATATGAGGGGATAGTTGTAACAGCAGGAGGTAGGAGGATATGAGGGGATAGTTGTAACAGCAGGAGGTAGGAGGATATGAGGGGATAGTTGTAACAGCAGGAGGTAGGAGGATATGAGGGGATAGTCGTAACAGCAGGAGGTAGGAGGATATCAGGGGATAGTCGTAACAGCAGGAGGTAGGAGGATATGAGGGGACAATTGTAACAGCAGGAGGTAGGAGGATATGAGGAGACAATTGACCAGCA